ATCTGGAGGACCCCTCACTTAGGATGATACAGGATATTTATCACACTAGCCCTGGTATGCCCTGGTTGAAGGAGCCAAGATGGTGCACAACTTTTTTTTTTAAAGTCATTTAGTTTTTAACTGAGCTCCTGACTTCCTTTTTTGCTTAGTTTCAGGGTTTTTTTTCCATTTTGGTATTAATTGTAGTTTTATATTCTTGTGAAAACTGGTTAGTGTTTTTGTCAGTTTTCTTGTTGGAGCAGCTGTGAGGAGAATCAGCTTAAAAATATTTGAAGCAACAGCCAACACAAAGTACTAAGCAGTTTCAATGCTTTATGAAAAACAGAGGCAGGGGTCTTCAATACCCCATTGTGGGTTTTTGGCTTTCAAAAACTTCAGCAGACAGTGTGGCAATGAAAATAATTACTATGAATAATTTGCCAAGTGGTTAGTACAAACAATTCACTGAATTGTTTGCTGAAGTAAAACCATGCTCTTAGAAGAGGTCCATGGGAGGATCTGTTTACTGTGCAAGTGGATCAAATCTCACCTTTCTTTTCTCTCTCTCACCTTTCCAAGCCATTTGATCATTTGAAGCATCTCTCTTTGCTCTAGAGAAAGTCAGTGGGACATCTACAGGGGAACTCAATGGAGCAGAGAAATACAGCAGCTGCAGCAAGGCTGATTACAACTTTGGCTTCACCTAAATGCCACTGTTGTCTGAAATATGTGATCTGGTTCTTGGTTCACCACACACGCTTTCAGTGCACACTAGCAATTTCTCTATAGGTGACAACAGCTGGCAAACCAGGTTTTCAGGTGATGCACATTGATGGAAATCCATTGGCAGAGATGCTTCAGTTTTGATAGTTTTGGTTCACAATTAATATTTTATCTTGGACTACAGAATTGTTCTTCCCAGACTGCTCTCTCTCTGTGTGTGTTTGTGTGTATGATGATATGATAATGATTTTGCCTTTGTCTGCATCCCTTGAAAGGGGTGGAAGACAAGGCTGAGGCCTGTCAGCTACCTGGCATGGGTAGCTCAGTCATTTTGTGTTCCTTTTCTTAAACTGGTCATAGAGGAGGAGTTTCTGTGAGTACTCTGCACTGCTGTATCAGCGGCTTCATCTGGCCTTTCCCCATATAAATAGCCAGGTTCAGTGTGGTTCAAGGATTGGTGAATCATTCTGGACATTCATGAGGACCCAAAGGATTTCAAAGGAGGATTTCCCAAAGCTTATTCAAGGCTTACTAACTCAAGGGGATTTGGAGCTTGGAGTCATCACCCCCCTGGATATTCTCAATATACCTGCAATATACCTGATAATCCTGCAAGTCTTCCTCTGCAAACATTTCAGGGGTGTGGGCAATGAGGAGCAAAGGCCACTTATATGATTCATCAGGTGTATGTAGCCTGGGTGGTGATGGTGTTGGTCATTCAAGATAACTGCTTGGAATGGCAGTCCGTAGCCCATACCCTGGTAGCAAGTATACCTGCAGAGTTTAGTGAGGTTGACCTTCACTAGTTAAGAGAATTTCAATGAAAAATGCTGTGGTCAGTAGTCTGACCCATTTGCTGTATCTCAAGTCCTCATTCCAGAGACATGATGTTCAGCAAAGTAGAAATATCTGTGGGAATGAAATGAGGACGTTTCACACTTTTCTACTTCGTAATGTACACTCTTGTGCAAATTAATTGAAACAAAGCATGTTTTCTATCTTACTCGTAATTGTGTACTCAAAGCAAACACGAAAATTCAGTTGATCATTATGGTGTCGGAAGCCTGCGGCCAATAGAAGGAATGATGCACTCGCCACAATATATTGAGGTTCTATGAAAGGGAGTTATTCCAGAGCTGGAAAAGAGGTATCCTGACAGTACTGGGACATTGCAGCAGGACCTAGCCCCCTGTCACACATCGAAAGTGGTGAAGAAATTCATGACAGAGCAGCAAGGTACTTGATTGGCCAGGGAATTCCCGAGACGTAAATCCCATTGACAATTTGTGGACTATATGTAAAAATCACCTCCGTGCTGTAGACCATGGAGAAGCTCATTCAGGCGCTCATTCAAGTGTGGTACAGGGATCTGAAAATCAACAGTAATCGTTCGAAACTAGTAGACTCCATGCCAAACCATGTTCAAATGCTGCTTAAAAATAGCTGCGGTCATATCCATTACTAATGTACGTATATGTGAGCTTTGTACATGTATATGTGAGTTTTGTACAATAAACTACATTGTTTCTTTCAATTAATTTTCACAAGGGTGTATTTATAGAATCATAGAACTGTAGAGTTGAGAGTGACCGAAAGAGTCATCTAGTTCAGGTGAGAAAAGGAAGAAAAAGAACATCCCAGAAGGTTTCTCATAGAAAATGTCTCCTGGCAAATTTTGGCACAGCTGTGGTTCCTGTCATGAATGGTGAGAATCATCTTACCAAGAGATTATGGGAGTTCTGGTCCCAAACTGAAAAACTTACAAAGTGACAGGAAAGTGCAGTCTGTATGTTGTGATTCTAAATACAGTTGACACTCTGCCATTATTTTTATATGAGCTGGCGAGTTCCACAATGCCAAGAGAGTCTTGTTAGAGCTAATTGCCTGACCTCTTATTTTTTATTTTATTTTTCTCTAAATAGATCACAGAGCTGGATTTTAATTGGTTGTTATATTACAGGTCCACTGTTGACATAAGGGGATCTTTTTAAGTTAACATGATGTATTGCAGTGTTGCTCTCTCCTCAGCCAAAGCATACAATTTTAATAGATACTGTGTTTCTTTATCCTAAAAGGTGGTGGGGAACACTCTAAAACATACTAAAGAAACCGTGTTATAATCACAGAACCCATTTGGGAAATCATGTTTCAAAGAATAAAATTGTCCCCGTGTACCTACTTTTTGCTATTTCCCACTTACATGCCCTTTTGATGTGAGAGTATGCTGAATCCAAACCTTGATGTGTAGACCATTTATTTTCCAAACAAAAAACCTATCCCCCAAATTAACCACTAAGGGTGCTTATTGAGAGTAAGATGTAAAACACAAAAGTTGTTGCTATTAAAAAAATAAAATAAAATAAAGGAAAGTAAAAGAGAACAAACCTTTTCAGAAGTCATATCACTTTGGATTTCACCTTGAGTGAATTGCTACCAGAGGTGGGGGTCCATTTCCAGACCAAGGGCCATATACCAATCTAGATAATGTTCTTGGGGCCACCTGCCAGTATTGGGTGTGACTAGAGGGAAACATAGACAAAGCCTTTTACATTTGCACAGTGAGCTAGGTTCTGCACAAACTGACACATCATAACCCTGAACTGCCCTGATTAAACGGAGACATCCTGTTTTGGGGCTCCATGCTCTCACGTGAGGATAGGTGGCACTCGAAAATGGATGAGATCGCAGTCGCGCATTTTTGAGCTCCATACTCTCAAGCTGGTCACGTGACTCACCTGAGAGCATGGCAAGGAAGATACGCTGCCCAGTTTTTGGCCTGGATTTGTTGGAGGCTGTGTGAAACATTCCTTTCTATCTTCCACCCAGGCAAGCAAAAGACATCATCAAAGTTCAAGAACACCTTACAGTCAGGCACTCAATAAGAGTCGGGTGCGGTGTGGCTGAAGAGAAACTGTGGCTTGGGGACTCTTGAGGGGGCGGACAGAGAGGGCAGGTGGGCTGCATTTGATCAGGGCTTCAGGTTCATACACACACTTAGAATCTGTCCATTCTAAGTGTGTAGCCACACACTCACTTTTTTCCCCAGAGACAAAAGGGGAACTGGACCTAGATTTACACCCCAGCTTTATTATTTATTAAAACTGCATTTATTTCCAAAGGTGGTTAGTTGCATTGTTGGTACTTATCAGGAGGTAGAGAGAGAGAGAGGAGGGAGGCAGCCATGAAACTGACACAATGCAGACACATTATCGAGACCACTGGAATGACTCACCACCATCTCCCCTCTACTTTCTTGTAAGCAGCAATGATGTGACCAACAAGAGGTCAGATAAGTGGCATTTCTTCACCATGCTGTCTTCTACTGTTTCTAACCCATCTTCCTTCCAAGGAATGGTATAAATGGCTTTATCCTCATAACAACCCTGTGAGATAGGTTAAACTAAGGGACAATGAACTTCAAGGCTGACTGGGGACTTGAACCCTGGTCTCCCAGGTGCAACCCTCTAACCACTACACCATGCTGTACTGATAGTGACATATTATTTTTTCAATCAAGTATCTGCTTTACTTCACCAAAGGTGTATTTGAGAAGGCACTGCTGATGTGTTGACTCTTCCCTTCTCTTTATCATTTCATTTTTCTCCTATTCAGTACAAAGCCCTCTCCTCTAAAGACAGCTGGCCTCCTCTCAGGAGGGGCAGCAGGCAAGAAACAGTCATTCCCGAGAGGAGCCACTGGAAAGCTACACAGTGTTTGCTTTTCTGGATCATTTCACTTAAATAAAACTTTAAGCTGGTTATTTAGTTCTTTAAGTGAGTCTCAAGGAGAGATTATTCTAGCAGGTGGTCCACTTTGCCAGCATGCCTGATTGGTACAGTAAACCCACTCACTTTTATTCTTGGATGAGTTCCTCCCCCCCATCCATGGTATTGCTGTTTAATATAAGACTGCTACTTCTACCGATGAAAACCAAGGCCATGCCAATTAGGAATCTCGGATAACTATTGCTCTTTGTGTTCGGGATGATATAGGCAAGTGTATTTTAGGCTTACATAGCTAAAAGAAGGGCTGCACTCTTGATACATTCAAGTTTTGAGGCAACTGGGCCTATCTGGAGGGATGTGAACCTTGCTTGAGGCAGGCTGAGATAGCCACAAATCAGGTTGTGTGGCCCAGCCTGATCCATAATGATGATGATGACATATTCCCCTTTCTCCAGTGCAGACCTCCACTGGATTGTGGTCCCTTTCATAAACAGAAAGAGCCCTTCCATTTGTGAAAGGGCAATTCAGGATTGAACCCTGCTTGCAAACCACCTTTGGGTTTGGGGTCAGGCTGCAGCTCAGTGGTAGAGCATCTGCTTTGCATGTGAAAGATCTCAGGTTCAATCCTTGGCAGATGCCAGGTAGGGAAGAGGAAGACTCCTGCCCTGGAGATTCACTGCCCATCAAAATAGACCATACTGAGCTAGATGGAGCAGTCTGGTCTGACTTGGCATCCTGCAGCTTCCTACAAATCACTTCCTATAAATAACCACATTTTCAGTTCCTGCAGGTCAGTTGAGTTGTGAGATTAGAGAGCAGTTCCATTTCCTTTCACCATCTCCACCAGAAGATAAGCTAGAGGGATGAAGAACAGCTTCTCCTTCAGTTAGTGGAAAAGGCTATTTTCAGCCCTTCCTTTCCTTTCTTTGTTCCTCACTTGGACTTCATCCAAGCAATCGTCCAAAGGAAAGGATGTGGCAGCATTTGACGCTGCGAAAGGGATGAATAAGGCAGAGGTGGAGAGGCTACTTCAGCAAAGAAGAGAGATGGGCAGGGAGAAAACCTCCACCTGGAACAAGAGTATCAGAGGAAAACACCAGCTGCTAAGGAGGGAGCTGTCCTACACTTGTCTGCAGACAGCACTTGCTGTAATAACTGTGTCACTGGAGAGAGAGAGAGAGAGAGAGAGAGAGAGAGAGAGAGAGAGAGTCTAGAGAAAAACTGAGGCCAATTTCAGAGCGGGGATGGTCCCCCCCCTTCTTCATACTCAAGCAAGAGCAGCAACTTTGGCAGCCTTGCATTCTGATCAAAACCACATCTTACAGAAAAAGAGCCGAGGAACAGTGACTCTCGTTCAAACAGCCACTCTTGGACCCATCTGAGCCCATTATGGTATGATACGATAGCAACTTCGTGGCCCAGCATAGCAGCAGGGAAAAAATGTGTTAGGGGGATTACCAAGTTGAGGGAGGCCGAAGCAAATTGTCTGGTAAAGAATAGTGTCAGCGTCAGCTTAGCGAGTGGCAATAGCAGGCCTTCCTGTATTTGTTATCTGCTGTTTACACCTGTCACTAGGCCAGCATGGTGTGCCAGCCGGTACAAAGTTGTCATTACCTACCACACAGCGAAAGCTGCTCGGAAATGTAGCTTTTTGAAAGGGCATATATATATAATAATAATAATAATAATACAGAATCCGAATGTTGTGTTGATAAGCAAGGACGTTTGGAAGGGTGTCTCATGGAAAAGGGAGAGAGTGAGAGCAAACTTTCATTTCCTCAGAAGCAGAACAACATCCCAAGTGGGAACTAAGAGGATTCAGGAAAGGCGAACCATCAGTACATTTATTTGCTGGACAACTATGAAAGGTTGAGGCCATTCTTCTTTCCTACAGCTACTAAGGAGGCAATTAAGCAGGCTTCTGCATAGGTGCATGTTAGGATTGGGAAGGGGGAAATTGCTTCTGTTCGCATTTAATGGCCAACTTACCAAATTTGCATTTTCCCAAAACAATACGCAAGCAGAAACACAGCAATTCTTTGAAATATACCCACCCCCCTGCTCGTGATTTTTGCAATGCAGTTCTCCAGCCAGAAATGCATACATTAGGGTAAAACATGTCTAGAACTACATTTATTAGTGGAAATAACATACAAAAATGCCTTAGCTTGGGGGGGGGGGAATGCTTTGCCAAAAACCTATATATTTGTCAAAACCAAAATGTGTTCATCAATAGGAGACATAAAATGCCATAGAATTTTCATAAGGAATTTCCTTTTTGAAAATTCACTGATATTTGCAGAAATGTAAGAATTTGAATTTAAGATTGAAAGAACAAAAAAGAGGGAGAACTGAAAATTGTCAGATTCATTCTAGGGATGGAAGAGAAATTCAGTGCACTTTAAAAGATGAATCTTCATAAGTCATGCGTTCCCAAACAACTCATGAACTTTCAAAGCACAGCCATCCTCTGAAATTTGCACTTCACCATATTTGGCACTGCAGTTCGCCTGCCAAGTAATGTGTGCAAAAATGCATGCCCTGAGGTAAAGTGGGCACTCAAATGCCCATATTGGTGAAAATAGCAGGTATTATGCTAGGTGAAATTGCTTTGCAAAAATGTGTATTTTAGGCAGAAATTCATACAAAAATGTGTACTTTATAGGAAAATTGCACTAAAATGCTGATCCATTTTCATGGGGACTTTTTCTTCTTCTTTTTGACCAGTGTGGAATTTAAGATTGGAAAAACAAGAAACCAAGATGGTAAAATTCTCCCACTCTTCCAGGATAGTGTGCTAATAATGGGTAAGGCTGTAAGCTAGCTCTTGATTTCCATGATGTATTCTGAACAATAATATTTATAGCTTGCCATGTAATTGTGTTGCCTTTCACATGAACAAACACAGCTAACATCCTTTCTGGATTATTTAAAGGTGTTCTACATGCTATGAAATTGATAGAGCATGCTACCCAGGAAGCAGAAGTGTTTTATAGCTGCATTGCAAGGATAATTCATTCCATGACACCATAGCAGTTAATTTGAATTTACAGCTGATTGTTATTTACCACAAATGCATTGAAAGGGTATACAAATAAAGTCAAGTAGTAAAACCTTCAGCACAATATAGAATTATAAATACCATGCATTTCAAATTCCCCTTTATTTAATACCAACCTCCAATAAACAGCGATTGTCAACAATAAATGCAGTATTGCAATCTAAGTAAATGTCATTTCCATGGAAATATAAATGTGTGTGCATTTAGGTTGGTCTTGCTTCCCCAAGGAACAAATCATTTGCAAATGTAAGTCAGGTTTAAATTCATTGAATCCACATGGACGTGGAAATTAAAAGTGGAGATTCTAAAGCCTACTAACTTTTTTTATTTAAAAAAGCTGATGATTCTCTTCTAGAATTACGAGCTCATTTCTACAAGATATCTGTCCATCATGCTTCAAAAGAGAAAAATACAATGTCTTTTACATGTGAATCAAAAGGAGTTTGTGTTTCAGCCATATCATCACCAGAATAGCTGAAAAGAAGATGGTTTAAATCATGCCAATTTTTACATTTTTGCTTTATGCAAGTACATTGTGTTCCAGCTGGGCCACTTCAAACATAGGGATGAGGGAATCAGTGAATTTTGGCCTCCCTCTGCAATCTTTAATTTAGTTCCCCACATTCCCATATTAGTTAGGGGTTTTGTATTTTTTAAGAGCTCACAAAAAATTGTCAACATTTGAACATACAGTTGTCTTAATATGCACTTTTTTTGCAAGACATTTCCCCTAATATTGTACATTTTTGTATGTTATTTTCACAGATTTCTATGTACATCCCCCCCCCCAAATACACACATATATTTACACATTTGTTAGGGATTTGCCCCACAAAATTTGAGAACTACATGTTTCAAAGGATAGCTGTGTTTTGGTCATTTTTGGGATGGGGGAGGAATGAAAATTAAAATGTGAACCAAAGTGAGCTTCTCCTCCATCCCTGCACACATCACAAGTTTCCTATGTGGATATAATATCTATATAGAAACTGGACAAACGTCAGATGTGAAGAAGACAATCACTCTGCTATGTATGTGTGGCAGAGAGGTCCTATTTGTGGTTTCCCCACAGCAATGCATATGTGGCAAAACATAAATTGGGGATTCATGGAAAGGAAGGAGGAGAAAGAAAAGGGAAAGATGGAATAAAGAGATAGAAAAAGAGTAAAAGACAAAACTTACTTAGCTGGACAAGTAAACTGGTCACGTTGCAATTCCCTATGACCTGAAAAGCATGATATTCTCTTAACAGATTCACATACACTCTGTTTTGCTTATCCCTTTCAAATCAGGACTGATTATCATATGGACATTACAGTGTTTGATGTTACTGAAAGCAAAACAACTCCCCCCCCCCCCCAAAGGGAAGGGATAAAATGTTTTGCATGAAAACAGAGAGGTTCGCAGTACATGGCGATCCGCCTATTTCTTTAATGACATGTTTTTATGGCTGAAAGACTGCACAAGTTCCATGTGACAGAATGGCTGTTTCTATGGTTACCTTGATTGTTTTTAATAGCGAGGAGAGGAAAAGACATAAAACATGGCTAGATTGACAGCTGCCCTAGGGCTGTGCTAACATAGTACTCTTATCAAAATGCATTATTTTGTGTATTACTAAAGTGTACTAAGCTCACGGACAACTATGCTTAATACACTTTTGGAAAACCGTGCAGATCATTCCGATCAAGCTGCTGGTGTTACACCTTTAGCCATGCATCGAATGGGGAAAGGAGGGTTATTAGCAGTGATGCTAGACAGGGATGTCAGTGCCAGATACCTAGACATTATAGGGCTGTAAAACTTCCATTTCACATTTTTGCTGAATTGTAATTATCATGTCAGTGTGTGAGATTCCTTATATTTTAACATTACCTTGCTTGTAGAACCTGGTTTCTTTTGTGAATGCTCTAGCATGACAAGCACTTTTCATTCATTATGGAAAGCAAGCTACTCCATATGTACCATTTCTCAAAATGTCATAATGTTCTCTGACTCCACCTGCGTGAAGTTTCCTCTCTGCAGTGTTTAAGGGAGGCCGATCCATTCATATCCTACGTGGCTGTGAAATCTTTTGTGTTACTTCAGCCGTGAAGATTATTGCATATTATAAATAACTCCCCCCAAAGATGTAAAAATGTAGGGAATGGGGGCTGTTCCTGGCTCACAAATATTATCTGTAAATCTGAAAAAAAGTCTTCCTTCATCTCTATTTTTATAGATCTCTGAACTCACCAGTCACTTCTGTCAACTCCACATGGATGAAGTTGCACAACAGAAGGCTTCGCTGAATGTTCTCCAGAGAACTTTGGCATTGGTTTGTTTTTATATTGTGATTGCCCTACTTCTTTCTAGTAACAATGACCCCATTATGCAGCCAATTAACTGTGGGAGAATGATACTGAAAGCTAATACTGTACTGCTAATTTAGAGTGAGGGAAGTTCCTGTTCGGGGCATGTTGTCCTCACTCCAAATCAGCTTTGTGTGCCCTCAGGAACTGTCAGGAGCTACCCGGTCTGGAACCTTGAGGTTTGAGACTGAGACCTTCTGTATCATGAACATTTTCCTAGCCATAAT